GGGTCACTCAGGGGTCACTCAGGGGTCATCTCTCCGGCCAGGAGTGGAAGCTGGACACGCTGTGTGACCTCTACGAGACGCTGACCATCACCCAGGCCGTCATCTTCATCAACACCCGCCGCAAGGTGGACTGGCTGACCGAGAAGATGCACGCGAGAGATTTCACCGTGTCCGCCATGGTCAGGGGTCATCTGGGGTCATTTGGGGTCAGAGGTCACCCAGGGGTCACTCAGGGGTCATTGGTCACTCAGGGGTCATCGGTCACTCAGGGGTCACTGGCTGACCGAGAAGATGCACGCCAGAGATTTCACCGTGTCCGCCATGGTCAGGGGTCATCCGGGGTCATCGGGGTCACCCAGGGGTCACCCGGGGTCATTGGTCACTCAGGGGTCATCGGTCACTCAGGGGTCACTGGCTGACCGAGAAGATGCACGCCAGGGATTTCACCGTGTCCGCCATGGTCAGGGGTCATCGGGGGGGTCAGAGGTCACCCAGGGGTCACTCGGGGTCACCAGGGGTCACTGGTCACTCAGGGGTCATCGGTCACTCAGAGGTCATTGGTCACTCAGAGGTCATTTAGGGTCACCCAGGGGTCATTTGGGGTCACTCAGGGGTCATTTGGGGTCACTGAGAGGTCATTGGTCACTCAGAGGTCATTTGGGGTCACCCAGGGGTCATTTGGGGTCACTCAGGGGTCACTCAGAGGTCAGGGGTCACTCAGGGGTCATTTGGGGTCACTGAGCGGTCATTTGGGGTCACTCGGGTCATTGGTCACTCAGAGGTCATTTGGGGTCACCCAGGGGTCATTTGGGGTCACTGAGAGGTCATTGGTCACTCAGAGGTCAGGGGTCACTCAGCGGTCATTTGGGGTCACTCAGGGGTCATCAGTCACCTGGGGGTCATTTGGGGTCACTCAGGGGTCATTTGGGGTCACCCAGGGGTGGACGTGGCCTTTGGCGTTTGTGGGCGTGGCCTAAAACCCGGGTGGGCGTGGCCTAAATTTGCATACGCTGTGCCTAAACTTGGTGGGCGTGGCCTAAATTTGCATGCGTGGCGCCAAAACTGGGTGGGCGTGGCCTAAATTTGCATGCGTGGCGCCAAAACTGGGTGGGCGTGGCCTAAATTTGCATGCGTGGCGCCAAAACTGGGTGGGCGTGGCTTAGAGGGGTGCACATGTCCTAAATTTGCATGCGTGGCGCCAAAACTGGGTGG